AAAAAAAAAAAAAGACATGCGCCGTATGACTAGAAACCGTCGAGCTATCCGAAATGCAAACGCAAGAAATGTGCAGTCAACCTAATCCACCTTTGCCATTGCAAGTTTCTTGGGTGTTGATAGATTATTCGACAAACGAATGTTTGTCTTCTTCGTCTTGGATTGCTTCTTCAGCTTCCTCCGGGCGACCATAACCGGAACCGAGGAGTGCATGACCAGATAATTGGAAAATGACCCGAGAAGTACACTGGAAGTCATTAGCTTTTGTAGATACTTTCGAGTAGGATGATGAAGAATTACCCTTTAAGGGCGCTCCGGCCCCTAGCACCGACAATGACAAGGGTTGGCTCAAGCCCGTCGATCTAGAAGAAACAAAAGCACAAAGTCAGTTACTTGAAGCTACGAGAGCAGAACAAGGGTCCAGAGTTGCACCACGTACAGCTTCGGTAATCATGTGTTTAGGGCTCTTGCAATGGATCACCTCAACGGCAACCCGTACCTGTAACAGTGTCTTTCTGAGGAGTCGGACACACGTTTGTGAGATAACTTCAACCGCATGGACACGTTCGGACTCCGCTTTGGACATCCCCCGAGAATCGACAGAGCCGGGTTTGCTGTCGGTTCCCGAGCCAAGTCGGCTTAAGAGCGCACGAGACAAATTGGTGGACGAATCGTTCTGTGATTGCTGTGCCGTCTCTTCGGTTTGCGACCCCACAACGGCCGCAGCATCCTGCATGGCTTTGGCGCCTTCCCCAATCTGAACGGAGGTTGGTGCACCAGTCTCTTCATGAATAGCACAGACGGCAAACATCGTGTCTCCATCTCGAAGGATCGTGCCGATCGTCCATTCCAGGGCGTAAACAGATTCTTCACTGAGGTCTGTGGTGACCAGATACTTGCGTTGTCGGCGACGACCAGTTTCCGTTTGTTCTGATAGGCCGGTATAGTCACCGCGGATGATAGTCCGGATAGACCTATTGTGCACAGAACTGTCAATAGCCGACATTTGAATTCCGAGTTTCTGCGCCCGTTTGATGTCGGACAACTCCGCCTCATCTTCCGATCCAAAGGGAGTATTTGCCGCCGAAGCAGTGTCGAAGCTTGTCCGAGGGTGAACCTCAGGCTTCTTGGGGATCGGGCCCTGTTTCGACGAATGATTATACTCCGATTTCTCCGATTTGTCGTCGGGGTTATCCTCCGAAGCTTCTATAACTATGTTAGTAATTGAATGAAGGAAAGTAAAAGCAAAACGAGGGGCACACACGCTCTTTCGAATCAGTCGTTGAGGAGCTTGTTTCATTGTCCCCGATAGGGGTGGCACGGTCTGGGGTTTTCTTTCGTCCACGCTCGGAACTAGCCTCATCATCGCTCGAGGTAGAATCATCGACTTCTTCTTCACTCGTCTCAATTAGGTTGTTTTCGCTGTCGTACATGTCTTTCTCCAAGCGTTCATCTCCAGGTGTTGGCGAACGCACATTGTCGTCGGATGATTGGCGGCGAGCTGCCGGTCTAGCAGGCTGCTGTTTACCAGCAATCTCTGTCTCTGTCGGCTTCGGCTTTTCTGCTGTCGGCTTGGTCGACTGGGATGCCGGGCTCCGGGAGCTCGGACTGAGCCAGCGATTCTTCGGGGACAAGCGCGAGTCCAACGACGTCCCGCGCGCTGAATTGTTCCGTGATGAGCTTCTCCCTCTGGTAAAACTCGGCAGTCCGACCCGTATATCCAGGCCGGACATCACCGCTGCCATGGCGTTCCTGCCCTGCAGGGCCTTGGTGGGCGGTTTTTCCTGTGCCTGACTCGCACGCCGTTGAGAGAGGACGCTAGGCGGCATTGTGACCGAATCGTCCCAACGGATACTCGGCCTGGGTTTATTATTATCGAGTTTGCTATCCTTAGTGACCGAAAGCGGGTCGCTGGATCTGCGGGGAGCGTCCTCGGAATCAGCGGAAGATTTCTTCTGCGGGATTGGCGGCGGAGCCACAGCCGATGTCGTGCGTCGTGGGGTGGAAGTTTTCTTGACAGGAGGAGGTGCAGTGCTGGACGTAGTTGTAACTAAAGGTTCATGCCAGCTGTGTCGCGCGGAAGGGGGAGTCACGCCGACGCCAATGCCGGCGATGGACCCATGCCGTGGAGGCAGGGCCCCAGGCGATGGAGCAATATCCAGCATGCTCCGCGCTGGGGCCGACGGGGTTGTTCTGCGGTTCCGTCGCGGGCGGGCACCGTTGCGACCTTCATATTCATGAACAAGCTCACGGCGCTCTTCTTCCAGAGCAGTTTCCAGCGACATTGCGGCGGGTTTCCTACTGTAGTAGTGCTGCATCGTAGGTGGCGCCGCCTGCGGCGGTTGATAAGCTGTGGAGAACCGACTCGTACCAGAAACAAAAGGCTGGCCAAACAGCTGTGGAATGTGGAGATCGACTGCCTAATGACGGTTTTAGCTCGGGTCTGGACGGGGCAGTCCGCACTTCCGCTTTCAGCTGCGGACGCTGTTTGGTCGTTCTAGTATAAACCGTATAGTGTGCAAGTATTGGGGGGGGGTGTGGGTTGAAGAAGATCAACAAAAACCACACCGTGGGTTGTTCGAAGAAAGAAAGAAAATGTCAAGTCGATCCAAATCTCACCACCGTCTTTAGTCGGTAGTTTTAAAAACTTAACAACTCCTCTTCCATGTGTAGGCAGCCGTGTCAATCACAGGCGATCTTCCACTAGTTTCTCTCCGGTCGCTGCCAAGAAGAGGAGACTTGTTTTGGCTTGAATCACAAATGGTCCTTGGGAGGGTTTGTTTTGGGTGAGGAGGAACGTCGCCACTGTGATGGTGGTGATTTGAAGCGACGACGATTGGTGTCTAGGGAGTAAGAGGGGTTATAATCAATTATTATTGGGCGTTGTTAAGCTCGCAACTTTGTCTGCAAGGAACCTTTTTTCAGTTGGCACCCACGGCAGGAACTCTCCAGAGTCCAGAGTCCAGAGGGTCTTCTTCTTTGTCCCCGATGAATCCACTTTCACGATCGTCGGGCCACAGAATGAATCAAAGAAACTGCCCAATGATCAACAACCCGAGAGTCGATGCGGAAAAGGATATTTGAGAGAAAGTTTCACTGCAAAAAGGGGATCAACAGAAAAAGAAAAGAAAGAAAAAAAGCAAAAAAGGGACCTAGAAAACTCTCGAGGTATTCACCAAGAGCTCGGGCATTTATGGCGGGGCAACAGAGAGAGGGATTTGATCTGAGCTTCTGAGGGGAGAGAAGAAGGGAGAAAAAAAAATAAAAAAAAAAGAAAAGAAAAGAAAAGAGAAAAAAAAACATACATAAATTAAAAGAAAAAGAAAAAGAAAAAGAAAAAGAAAGTCCACATCCAGGCTGAACTCTATGCCGGCGATGTCATTAGTATCACTCCCCCATTTGGTGTCACTTTCAATCCCTTGCGTTTATCACAAGGTGCATAAAGACGAGAGACGGTGGCACGCTTGACCCAAGTGAATTACTACGCTTTTAATGGGCACGAACGCCGTTACACAGGAATCAGCTGTTAGTAGCCTAGTGGTACATTCACGCCATTGCCAATCATGGCCGTTTCAAGAGAATCTAGATACTAACATTTGGTAAGGGATGGTTGTGCTGACTCGTATTCCCTCCTACAACTGTTGGGGCTCTACTATCTACATATAGAACAATGGGCTCACGGTGCGCTAATCATGATGATGATGTTAAGATTTCCTTCTAATAGAATAACCGCCAATAAAGAAAAAAAAAAAAAAAAAAAAAGGAGTCATTGGTCTCGTCTTTATGACATCTGTCTTGTAACATGAAAAGTCCAGGTCGTTCGAATCTCGCTGTATGACGATGTAGTTCCCTAAAATAAAAACAAGCAATAGGACCAAGAAATATCCGTTAAGGGTCTCCCAGAACTCCTGCTCCAGAAAAGCAACGGTCAGAACCAACAAACAAAAAAAAAAAAAAAGAAAAAGAAAAAGAAAAAGGAAGGGGAAGAGGAAGAGGAAGAGCAAAAGCAGCCAAGGAGTCCTGTCCCATGCACATGACTTATGTAGCCTTCTTCTTTTTCGAGCTGCGTCGAGCTGCGGTGGCTTCAAAAGCTTCTTCAGGAGGCTCCTCAAACTTCGCCGCTCGTTTCTTGCCAGGGGCATATTTCTCCTCGAGTTTATCGAAGAATGATTCGGCACGGGAAGCCTGTCGCTGCTGAATCAGAGCCACAAGATCGTTGTCATCCATAGCGGATGTCTTCTTTTTCTTTCCCTTCTTCGCCTTGGTCCCCTTGACTTCTTCCTTCTCCTCGAGTTCTTTAGCAGCCTCCTCGGCTTCTTTAGCTTCCTTCTGCGCACGTTTAAGTCTCTGCTGTCTCTTCCTTTCCGGCTCCTCGGAGTACTTCTTGTATTTCTCTACCTTGCCATCGGTAATCGCCTTGTCAATAATGCCACGGAAGCGTTCATCGTCATCAAGCACGTTACACAGCATGACTGACTCATAAATCTTGTCCATATCGCCTCGGTATTTCTCAAACGCCGCGAGCAGGTCGCTCTCTTCCTCTTCCGAGCCCTGGTACTCCTGCTTGAATTTGTCGAGCGCCTTTACATCGATTGCACTCGAGAACTGTTCCCGATAGAAGTCCGCCCAATTGAAGTCGTCATCCTCTTCCACTGCCTCGGCGGTACTGCCTGTCAGGTCGAATCGGCGGCGACGACGTTCGTCCGACAGAATTGCATAGGCGAAGGCGATCTGCTGAAACTTCTTGTTTGCTTCTTCTTTTTGATCCTCCGGGGCCTTGTCTATTGTCCCGTTAGAATGGGGTCTCTTCTTCACAGCTTTCTTATCTTAAGGTATAAAGTATATAATACACTCAGCGATGTACATGTGAAAGGGCATTGCTCACCGGGATGATGCTTCAGCGCTAGCTTCCTGTACGCGGATTTGATCTGATCTGCAGTCGCATCCCCCTTAACTCCCAAGGTCTCATAGAGATCGGTCTCCAGGGGAGCTTCTTCAGGGATATCGGGGATGTCGTCTTCGTGTGGCATAATGAAAGATAAGGAAGAAATGTGAAAAAAAAAA